AAAATGAGCTGATGCCAGCGGCTCACGTGGATAATAGATGTTTTGAGAATGATGAGGGTAACGAATGTACAAATGTGCTTTATACAATCGATATATGTATGGATTGTGCTAAGAGTTGTATGAGCCCCCAATAAAGTTTTTTTTAAAAAGGAAAAAAAACTTACTTGCATGGTCCTATTCCTAAAAGGGAGCCAGAGCATTATTTGTTTTATTAGCAAGCTGTCCAACAAGTACCTTATACATAGCTCCACAACTGTTACAAGACCATGGCTAGAATGGTCATATAAAAGTTATTTACTACATTGAATCAGTGATTACATATTACCATTCTAGTATATTCAAATATTACTTTACTATAGATTTTATGTATGCATGTTGCTGTTGGGTACCTTTAAATCAGCTCTGATTCAAAATGACCCTATGTACTACAAAATTAGACACTGTCCATTCCTGTGCCATGCTCAAAATTGTTATGTTTGAATCACTGTTGCGGCCATCACGTCAATCCACTCCTTGAAGGTATTCCACTTTTTTGCTGTCTTACTTTCCAAACATGATGTCCTTTTCCAGGGACTATTCTCTCCTGATAACATGCTCAAAGCACATGAGACATTGTTGCTTCAAGGAGCATTCAGACAGTATTTCCTCCAAGATAGATTTGTTGAAGTCCATGGTACTTTCAATGTTATTCACCAACACCCCAATTCAAATGCACACATTTTTGTCTGCAGTCTTTTTATTCGCTGTCTAGGTAGCACATAAGGAAGAGGTGACTGAAAATACCTAGGCTTGTTGGGTCAGGAGTACCTTAGTCCCCAAAGAGAATTAATTGATCTTTAATACTTTAAAGTGTTCTTTTGGAGGTTTGCCCAATGCAATATGTCACTTAATTTCTTGACCGCTGCTTCTATATGTGTTCATTGTGAATCCAAGTAAAATATAATCCTTGACAATTTCTAGGTTATCTCTTTTTTTATGATGCTGTCTATTATTATAGTTGTGAGGATTTTTTTCTTTATATAGAGCTGTAATCTACACTAAGGGTTGTAGTCTTTGATCTTCACTAATAAGTACCTCAAGTACTTTTGGCATTAAACAAGCAAGGGTTGTGTCATCAGCATATCCTAGGTTATTAATGAGACTTACCCAAATAACCTCTGTCTTCATCTAGTCCAGTTTCTGGGATTATCTGCTCCATATACAGATTGAATAAATAGTGTGGAAGGATACAACCCAGACACACACCTTTCTTGATTTTAAACTATGTAGTATCTCCTTTCTCTGTCCAAATGCCTACCTCTTGGTCTCTGTACAAGTTCCACACTAGCATAATGATATGTTCTGGAATCCCTCATCTTTGCAATACTATATTTAGTTTGATATTATCTACAAAGTTAAATACCTCTGCATACAGTCAATAAATGCAAGTAAACATCTTTCTGGCTTTCTTTGCTTTCAGCCAAGATCCTTCTGACATCAGCAAGGATATCTTTTTTTTTTTTTAACCGTTTTATTAGGGACTCATACAACTCTTATTAAAATCCATACATACATCAATTGTGTAAAGCACATTTGTACATTCATTGCCCTCATCATTCTCAAAACATTTCCTCTCCACTTAAGCCCTAGGTATTAGGTCCTCATTTTCCCCCTCCCTCACTGCTCCCCGCTCCCTCTCCGCTCCCCCCTCCCTCATGAGTCCTTGATAATTTATAAATTATTATTTTGTCATATCTTGCCCTGTCCTACGTCTCCCTTCACCCACTTTTCTGTTGTCCATCCCCCAGGGAAGGGGTCACATATAGTTAGTTCCTTATAATCGGTTCCCTCTTTCCAACCCACTCTCCCTCTACCCTCCCAGTATCGCCACTCACACCACTGGTCCTGTAGAGATCATCCACCCTGGATTCCCTGTATTTCCAGTTCCTATCTGTACCAGTGTACATCCTCTGGTCTAGCCAGACTTGCAAGGTAGAATTCAGATCATGATAGTGGGGGCAGGAAAAAAACATTTATGAACTAGAGGAAAGTTGTATTTTTCATTGTTGCTACATCACACCCTGACTGGCTCGTCTCCTCCCCAAGACCCCTCTGCAAGGGGATCTCCAGTGGCCAACAAATGGGCTTTGGGTCTCCACTCCGCACTCCCCCCATCATTCACTATGGTAAGATTTTTTGTTCTGATGATGCCTTATACCTGATACCTGATCCCTTCAACACCTCATGATTGCATAGGCTGGTGTTCTTCCATGTGGGCTTTGTTGCTTTTGAACTTGATGGCCGCTTGTTTACCTTCAAGTCTTTAAGACCCCAGATGCCATATTTTTTGATAGCCGGGCACCATCAGCTTTCTTCGCTGCATTTGCTTATGCACCCATCGCCGCATTTGCTTATGCACCCATTTGTCTTCAGTGATCCCTTCTACACCTCGTGATCACACAGGCTGATATCTTTCATTCCATGTCCTCTTCTGAATCAAGCTTGACTGTCTGGGAGCTCTCAATCATTGTACTGCTGCTAACTATTTGTAATTAAGTTTAGCAAAATTGTGACATTAATTTTTTTATTTAAATGATACTGTTCAATAATTTACATACTCGTTAGGGTCACCTTTCTTTTGA